CATCAACTATAGCTTATTCAATTCAAGCTCAAATATTACAAGTTATAAATAAATTTTCTTTGCAAATTGTTGCTAATTGTATTTGCAAAATAATAATTTTTAAAAACTCTAAAATTATGAATAGATTTTTAAAAATTAAATTTAACAACATTAAAAACCTTATTTTAAGCAGTCTACACTGTTATTAGAAAGATTATAGAGCAATGTATTATTTGTCCTTGGCAAGCTCAGGATTCTTCTTATCCAACTTAAGCCAAACCGAAAGTGGTACAATGTTACAAACCTAAATCCACTTAACTATAGTTTGATGTCTCAGCTTTATGGTGTACATAATCATAAAAATAGGGACCTAACATTTAATTTAAATAATAATATAATAGTGATATGATTATGAAGTCAACGAAACCTTTCACTTATAAAGATAAAGATCTTTTTAACACCATAGTTGTTAGATTATAAGTAAATTTGAGTCTGAATAGAATAGTCTGACGCAAATATTTATTAAATACAAGACAAGTGAGTTTAGTTAGTAGATCTATATTAAATGTTATTATTATTATTAGGCCTACGTGCCTAATGCTAATTGGCCCAGCAATAACAGGTAGGCAGATATTGACCTAGGCTATCATAGGGCTATAACTATTAGTATTTATTTAAAGGTTTAAGTTTAAGGGACCATAAAATACATTAATGATGCCTCGCGATTTAGGCAGATGGGTTGTTTTTTTTAATAATAAATATCATTAAATACTATTATTATTAGGCCTACGCGCCTAATGCTAATTGGCCCAGCAATAACAGGTAGGCAGATATTTTTTTCACTTTTTTCACATACAGACACAAATTAGTAAACAACCTCACCCACCCAAGATAAAAAAATATATGAATAAATGAAGGGCCCTTGTCCTTTAACTTTAGGTTAATTTAAAGCCTAGGCCTGGACTCTAGCTACGTAGTGTTATGAGAGACTAGAGAAAGTAGAGAGACTAGAACGCCTAGTAGAAGCCTCCTGAGTCCTAGCTATCCTATAGTTTCCAATTGCCAAGAGGCATAGTTTAACTTTAAATACTTAATTGTTTTGGCAACTGGCTACTCAGTACTACGGACTACTAGTTAATACTATACTAACACTAACCAGTCACTCAGACTACTACTACAGTGAGGCCTAATGAGTAAGTTGAGTTCAGTATCAGTAAGACAATTTCAATATAGTATAGGAACTATAAATTTGGTCTAATTCAACTACAGCTAGAGCTCAACTTACGACCTACGCAACTTACGACCATTCGACTTTACAACCACGATCACTAGCCATACAGTATTAGATTTCAGATTTATTTCTGCCTCAATTATCAGTCGAACGGTGTTGTCTGTAATCATCGGTGGTCATAACTTAAGGAAAGGGAGGCATGATGCTATGCTGCTAGCTGGCGTCATTTGAACTCCCATTGAAAATTATGATTTATAACGATAATAAAAGAAATTTATGATATAATTTACTTAAATATTTTGATAACATCACTTCACATTACTGTACACATGGCGTACTCAACTTACGACCAAATCATGTTATGACCGGTCTGTCGGAACCGATCGTAGTCATAAGTTGAGCACTAGCTATATATTAATATTGAAATTTTAAATTGTCTTACTGAACTCAACTTACTTTTACTTGTAGTCGTAACTTAATCTTTGTTCAAAGTAAGTCCAAGACCAAGCTCTTTCAATTTCAACTCAAACATAAATTCATAAATATTAAAAGCGAACTAAAAAGTATTTATTTATTATTTGCTTTTTATTTAGTTTAGGCTTAATTAGCCTATTTTAAATTTAATAGACATATTAAGCCTACTTACTTTAACATTAAATAGCCTGAAATAGGTCCTACTCTTGTCCCTTATCTTATGATTCTAAAATCTATTATTATGACTATCATTATCAATGATCAACTATGAAGAAAATGAATGAAAGTTTGTTAGTTAGCTGATAAGTGAAGAAAGAATTCTTTGCTTACCAAATTTATCGTTCCTCCCAGACATAATTTCCAAAAGTAATTAATTTATAAACACTTCTGGAATAAATTTTGGTAGATAACTCAATTTTCACTTAACAATTTCTTTAAATCTTGTTACTATAAGTCTGTAAGCGGTTGTCCAAAGGAAAATTGAAGCCATTTTGCTCAGTTGTAAATCTAAATATCGAAGTACAAATTAGGCACGAAAGAAAAAGGCTATTTTATTTTAAAATAGTGCTTTCAATTTAAGTTAAAAAAAAAAAAAAAAATAAAAAAAAAATAATAATAAAAAATTTAAAACATTTAAATCATAAACCTGAAATGAAGGTAAATGTAAATCTAAAAAACGAAATAAAAATTAGGCAAGAAAGAAAAAGGCTATTTTATTTTAAAATAGTGCTTTCAATTTAAAATAAAAAAAAAAAAAAAAATAAAAAAAAAATAATAATAAAAAATTTAAAACATTTAAATCATAAACCTGAAATGAAGGTAAATCCCAAATCAATCCTAAAGGAAATATAGCATGCCCACATTTGACGTCCAATTAAATAAAAATGTTCACCTGCCAAAATCAATTGGGTTTAAACGGGTCTCTGTCTTTGCGGCTGCTCATTCACGAAAACCACAATACATTTTCATACACATCAAACACAAGCCTTATACCATGACAAGTTCCAAATAATTCCGCCCCTACCCACAACAAAAAGTGGCACGTGGGGTGGATTGCCTCTCCACCCAGTGGCGTATCTAGACTAAATGCCACCCGAGACTAACTGACAAAAGTGTGCTACTCTAATACACATATTATGTGTATAAAAACGTATACATAAAACTCCATAAGTGCCACCCGGGGTTCTCATCCCTTCGCATCATCCAAGATACGCCACTGCGCCTCCACCCCCTTTCTGCGCCTGTGACTTAGAGCTGAAATTCTTTTTCTTTCTCGACATTTCGTGATCGATGAGTGATTTGTGAATACCCATACCCCCTTTTTTGTTGTTGTTTTTGGTGTTTTTTTGTTTGTTTCCTGCCATCCCTACGTCTTCACTCTATTCAGCGCACCTATGGCTACTGCCCTAATTAAAGTCGACGTCTTCTTTTGATTCTCTTATTTATTTATTTTTCCTTGTCCGGCCCCGCGCGGCACTGACTCTAGTTACGCCACGGAAAATATTATTTTCCTTGAGTTCGGAATATATACAGTTGGATTATACAGATTCGAAGCGTGAAATTTAAGTTGCGACAAAAGGCTTGATATCAAGGTGCGCCTCAATTGGAATGTATGTTTATGTATAGCCTGTGGCGGGAAGAGGATGACGTTGGAGTCAGAACTGGTCCTAGGGGGCTCAGTGTATTAGTTCACCAGGGCCCCCGGTGCTGTTCAGATGGCCCTGGTCTTGGGACATGGGTCACTTTGCTTTGATAAACTGGGGACCTAAGTTATTTTGCTTTAATAAATGGTAGGGAACTAGTGCACCAGCTAGACCTTAGAAGTTTGTTAAACTGAGATGCATGACTATGGATTTTTTTAAAACTTTTTTATATTATATATAATAAAAAAGCATAGTATTGAAAATAAAAGACAGGTCGATTAAAACCATTGGATAAGTAAGTGCTTTACATAGTATCATTACAGTAGTTAGAGTTTGTGACGCGCGGGACGGTCCTTGTTTTTACGCCCCCTAATTAACGAAACAAATCGAAGCCTATAAAATACACATAAAAAATAAGCTATCTTTGCTTCTGGTGCGTCTGAGTAAAAATTTAAAAAAAGACTGTCGCGTAGTAGTGAACTCCATGCGTGACGTCTAAGCTCCAATAAATATGTTGCTTTTCTTTATGGGGGGGGGGGGGGGCTACTTTTTTTCGGGGTTGTTTTTTTCTTCTTTCT